AGTATTGTCGAAGGGTTCATGTGCACTTTAATACCCTAGGATATCTTAAAATACTTAATTGTTCAAGGTACAGAAATATTACCAGCAAGTGTACGATTGTTTCACTCCTTTCCTAAATAATTCTTTTTAATTACTTTTCTACAGCTTCGCAATCCAGCAAGCGGTTACTGTCTGGACTCGCTTGGTGCTAAACCAGAACACAACGCTCGTGTTGGTATTTACGTCTGCCATGGCCAGGGAGGAAATCAGGTAACGAAAGCTTGAAAAAAGAAAGAATGAAAGATTTCTGTTGATTGAGAGTCCCTTGTAAAATCTCACTATTAAGTCGGTATCAAAACTGTTGGTCCCAAATGTTTATGTTGGTCAAATTTTTAAAAAAGACCCTGTTGCACAAAGCACTTTTTCTTGCAACTAGAAATGCAGAGTTTCAAGTTACAGAAAAATTTGAACAAGCTTCTACTTTGCGCAACGTTGCGAAGCAAGTTGAATCGTGTAACATCTATCCCGCAACCTGCAATGCAATCACTGTTGCAAATGACCATTCAAAGCACAGCTCTTCCATATCCTTTTATCGCAGACCAAGAAAGCGTTGCGTTGCATCATTATAATAATCATGACCATCATATATTATTACTATCATTATCATCATCTTCATTATTAATTATCCTGCCTTCATTAAGCCATCAAGATTTATGAGAACACCCATCCTTTTATAGTCGCATTTTGACCCGTATATTTGTTTCCTCCAGATGTTTGTACTATCATCGAAAGGAGAAGTTATATTCGAGGAAGAAAATTGTTTAGATGCGTCCAAGACGTACGCAGGGGCTCCTGTAGAACTGATGAAGTGTCATGGCTTGGGTGGAAATCAGAAATGGCAGCATGAGAAGAAAGAGGTAGGACTAGTGTCTATGTACGGAAGATAAAGCTGCGGACTAATTTACATTTAAGGCCCTGTTATACGAGGCAATTGTTCTTGCAACTTGCAACGCAATGTTGCAAATGGCCTAAAAAGTTGAAAGAGCTTCTTCTTTTCGAAACGTTGCGAAGCAAGTTGCATCTTGTGACATCTAACCCGCAACCTGCGATGATGCAAAAAATTGCTGTCGCAAATGACCAATCAGAGCGCTGCTCTTCCATATCCGCTGACATTTCCTGTTTTATCACAGACCAAGCGTGCAAGTTGCGACTAAGTTGCGCGCGTCTGACATCTTACTGCGCTTACCTCTACGCTTGCTTGAGTATTTCGTTATGCATATGCTTGCGTCGCTAGTAAAAACCATATGTATATTTAACAAGTTCGACACCTGATTCCAAAATGTTTGTTTATTTTATAATATAATAATAATAATAATAATAATAATAATAATAATAATAATAATGTTTATTTATAATGTTGTTTTATCAGGGTATTCTGAAGCACGTCAGTACACAACAATGCCTCGATCGAGGGTCTACAGACAACCAATACGCAATAATGAACCCCTGTGATGGCCGCGAAACTCAACGATGGGTCTTCTCTCATTACAGAGAAAAATAATTTAGTTAACTAACTAGATTTGTAATTATATATAACTTAAATCCTAGACGCTTTTAGATAGAATCCGATGATTGTTGAATTGAATCATTTGTAATATTTCTTATTGATGGGACGTTAATATTTTTTAAACCTCATTTTTATAAAAACCCAATTTTTGCCAATATGTACTAACCTCGCTTCACATGAATTTTGCAGGTACATAAATACATATTGGGCCACCTGTGTTAGCTCAAAATGAAAGGCACTGAGCCCTAAATCGTTCACGTTCTGCCTTGTTGCATTGTATACAGTCAATTCAAAAAACGTTGTCGTCGACCATCTCAAGCCTACGCGACTGGACCGAAAGGAACTCTGGGTAGCAATCATTGAAGCCGAGTTGACTCCATAATTTTATCTGACTAGTTATGCCTGGTTTAAAGCACGAACCTTCATAGGCCAGCGGGAAGTATTGAAGGAGACGTTTTTTTAATGCTTTCATATTTTCGAAATTGTGAACTGAATCATAACTTGTTTTTCTTTCCCTAAACCTAAAGACATACATTTGATGGATTGTTTCTCGCCATTATCATCTTATTACTAGCGGGACGATTAATTCAAAACGAATATTTATCCGCTTCAGTGATTTTTACCCATATTCCTTTCGGTCCAGTCGCGTAGGCTTGAGCAGGACGACGACAACGTTTTTTGAATTGACTGTAGATACTGACTTTCCGAACTACTGCACATGCACAGCCACCATTGCATAACATCTTTTAAGATTAAGTAATTTGCCTAAACTGACTTTGATGTTAGACCAGGCATATTATATACATTAAGATACAATAAATGCTTTATATAATTGTTTAGAAATGATTGATGTGATTTAAAAAGTAAACTTTTAAAACTTTTATCTCAATAAAAGAACTTCAAATTTTATTGAACTTTGAAGTCTTTGAAACAACCTTTGGACTGATCAAAGTCAGGGCATGGCTAACTCAAATGTTGAACTCTGAAACAACCTCTACGCAGATCTAAGTCAGGGCATGGCTAACTCAAATATTGAACTCTGAAACAACCTCTACGCAGATCTAAGTCAGNACCTCTACGCAGATCTAAGTCAGGGCATGGCTAACTCAAATATTGAACTCTGAAACAACCTCTACGCAGATCTAAGTCAGGGCATGGCTAACTCACAGATCAAACCCTGAAACAACCTCTGTACTGATCAAAGTCAGGGCACGACTAACTCAAATATCGAACTCTGAAACAACCTCTACGCAGATCTAAGTCGGGGCATGGCTAACTCACAGATCAAACCGGAATTGACAGTCTCGTGCAGCCTAAAAGTAACGGCACTGCTAGCTGACAGATTGAAATGTTGGCATGTTGAGTTGACACTGGTAACGGCTCTGATAAGAGTGTCCTAGAGCGAAGCAAGGAAGACGAATATCCAACTATAGTTTTTAATGTTTAAATTGAGATTGGAATGGCATTTTCTAGTGATAATTATAGCCCACGGGCTCCTTTCAATGCAGTGTTCGTGTTTCTCTAGAATTTTCGAACGACATTATGTACATAGTTACTTACAGTTGAACACGCAATGCGATATCCTTTTGTTTTAAGAATCATAAGAGTGAGGCTATCGGGCCGACTCGCAATGCTTGTTGTTTCATTTGCGTCTGATTTGCAAGCATCCATAATATCTGCTGTTGCTGGGGTAATCAGTATCGAGTACAAATTGAAAAAAATAAAACGTTTCCCGCCGCGTAAATGACAATGTTAGTCAGTGTGGAGGCATCCTCTTGGAGGGTTTGGCCGGATTGAGGAATAAAAAAACAGTTCTGTGAAGATTGAACTGATATCCGCATGGGATCACTACGTGATACGTATTTCATACCGTTCAACTCTGCATTTACTGTTGATTAAACTATTATTCTACCCTGAATATCTTGATGTTTTCTTTTCTTTTCAAGTCCTTGTTGATTGAAAGATGATTTTTTWAAATCTTTCTCTTTCTATCTTTATGTTTTTGTTTTAGTTTTATTTCTTTCACATTGGCTCTGAAGTCACTGAAGGACGATCACACTTCACACAATATTTTCACAATCTTTTCTTTCTTACTTCTTCTTTTTTTTTTTTTTTTTTTTTTTTTTTTTTTTTTTTTTTTTTTTTTTTCTTTTCCTTGTCTTTGCCTTTCGCTTTTTCTTAAATTCTCTTCTCTTTCTTTCTCTTTCTTTCTCTTTCATTTTTTCGTTCCTGTTCTCATATTCCAATTATGCTCTCTTCCCCTTCCCTTCCTATCGCCCGTACGTAATATACGCTAGCATTCGACCAGTTATGCCTCGCTATAAACCTACTACTATAGTATTATGGCTCAGTGAAACTGAAAGTTAAACATGAGTCGGAAACAAGGCAACACTTATCACGATCTGACACGTGCTTCTCTAAAATAAACTGCCAATTATACAAGATCGTATCTTAGCAACAAGCTTTTTTATTTATTTCCAAACTGAAATAATTAGCAACAAGCTACCATCAAAACAAAAGCATGATATAAAGGTAATCTGGACCGGATTTTGAAAATTCTACTTTCCATTCGAATTCACAGCAATAATAACGACAATAACAATATGAACTCAAGATAAATTTCAAAATAGTTACAAATACTAAATATATTGTTGAGCCCTCGATAACAAACCCGATACTGGTAATTGGTTTGGTTGCTCGATTGGTTTTTAAACAGCAGCTTAAATATACTCAATTTGATTTTTTCCTATTTCTTTTTTTTTTTTTTTTTCCTTTCCGTTTTGCGCTGGWTTCAAACKTTKYTWKTTYKWTTTKTTWKTTYGWTTYTTGGGGAACGGCAAAACTTGTCTGGAGTACGGTGTATATCTTGCGGGGTATTTTCTGTTCATTTCAAGTCTGATAAAAAAAACTTTTATGATTGCAAACCAAGGGGATTCCCATTTTGTGGCGTTTTTCGTGTGGAAAGGAAAGAACTGAAATCGAGGCATGGCGGAAATACGAAGATCGTCACGTCAGTAAAGTGACGACGCGTGGCCGGTCAATCTTTAACTACATTGCTCGGCTCACGCGCCACAAGCTGAACACAGACTAAACCAAACCAGTCGGAGTGACTGGTAGTCAAATCATTTTTACTGGGACTACCAGCAGCTATAAAGAACTTTGCAAGTATTTTCCTCTAGCCTAGATGGGGAAGTATTTTAGACCATTTTATTCAAACGATTACGACGGAATAATGAATTTGCGCCGTGGAAATTAAGGGCTCTACGACAACGATAGAATGATGTTCCGCTCGCCTAAAAAACGCTACATTGTAACTACGATATTTCTTACGTCTTCGTTCTGGTTAGCTATAGAACTTGTGCTTTTAAACTATACCAATCGGCTTAATGTTGAATATTCATCGAGTGTACAAATCATCCAAGGGAAATCGAAAGTCAACGCGGATGTTAGCTCAGACCAACTTCAGCCCAGCTCAGATGAAATAGGAATCAATGAATTCAAAGGATTGTATAAAACACCTATACCACATATTTTAAAACAGGGTGAAAATGGAGAAAAGGTATACAATAGTCCGGGTGAAAAAGAAATCGAGCAAGGACGCTTTCAACTCTTCCAGTTTAACGAGTTAGCGAGTTCGAAAATCTCCCTTTTGAGGACGATACCGGACAACCGTCCCGAAACGTAAGTAGTTTTAGTCTAAGGCGATTTGTTTGGGTTATTTCCTTGGTATTTCGATCAGGGTTGCTTTTGTATTTTCCTAAAAGCTATTGTTATCACAGCTTCAAGATGTTAAGATATCGTCAACAAAACACCGGTAGGATAGAGTTAGTTTTACTCGTGTCTCTAGAGATTATATAATACCACACAGGCACAGATCAGTTCCTTATCTATTTCCACACACTACGTTAGTATAAAAATCTTCCATGAAGTACAGCTTGCTTATTCGCTATCATATTTTTTTATATTCCTAGAACGGGCCTGCTAAATACAAACCAAAACTGTTATGAATATTTTATGTAGAGCAAGAATACACAGACTAAAGATCATTTACGGTTATCTGGATGTAAAACAAGGACAAACGATTTATTTTTGTCTTAGCGGGAGCTTGGCATAACGTAAAACGGAGAACGTTTATTACCTAGTGACCTAGTGGCCTCAGTGTAGTAGTATAAAAGTTTAGGTCAGTCTATTCTACTAAAGTTTCGAATCCTCAGGGATTAGGGTTATTGCACGTAATATTCTCGCACTAAAAATTAACATGATTGAAATGTGCGGCGGCAGGGATTTAAAAATGATTTTTTCGCAGCCGCTGTTGTTTACATCGCTGATAATCCGGAGCACAAGAATATGTTAATTTTACTCAAACACGTCACTAATCGTTTTGCAACACAACTTGACGACATTATAAGCACTTTGAACTTTTAATATATCTTATCTCTCACAACAAATGACTAAGAGATCCCATGGTTAAGACAGATTTTTGAAAGACTCTTTACAAAAACACCTTGTATCAATTGAACTTTAGATGGAAGAGACCTTCTCCACCATCGGCTAAATCCAATCTAAATTGATGGAATTAAATTAAGTTAAATCCATAAAAACAAAACGTTATGTTTCAATTTTTAAGATATTCTAGTTTTAATTAATGCATTAGAAAGTCTTCCTTTTTATGAAGCTAGACTTATTCATATTTCGATCAAATACTGACAAAAATCATGTATATAATCTCAAAAATTACAAGATATTTCGTAATTCTTTATATCATTATTGTTTTTCCAGATGTTTCAACCTCAAATACTCCCAAACAAAGCTGCCCACTGCAAGTGTGATAATCATTTTCCACAATGAAGCGTGGACAACACTCCTGAGGACCGTTCACACCGTGCTAGCTAGGTCCCCACCACAGTTTTTATTGGAAATTATTCTAGTTGACGACCACAGTGACACTGAGAAATACGGTGAGTGAATTTGAAATGTTTTTTTCAAAGGTTCTTCGACCGCAAGGATAATACGCGATTCAAGGGACGATAAATATTGCGATAAACATAGTAAAAATCATTCTTTGTTGCATAGGCAAAATTTGAACCCTTTTTCGCGTTATTATTGAATTATTCAGCAAATTTCTTTATTTCATTATTTCCTTCTTTCCTTTGTTCTCTCTTTTCCATCTTGCTTTTCATTTGTCTACTTTCCATTATTTCACTTCTACCTTTCCTTAACACTTCACTTTCTTTCATATTTGGTTGTCATTATATATTCTGTATTCAGTATTCTATTCAGTCTCAGTTACTATTTTCTTTTCATCGCACTAAAAAGTCGTGAATGCCTTTGTTTGCCCGAAGTTACCATGGTAATATTGATTCTCATGGAAGATTATCAGGATGAAATTCGCCCTCCAGTTTAATGAAAACTTAGTGATAAATTCAAATATTCTGTATTTCAGTACTCTTTACGAGTGATTTGAATTGTTTGAGGAAAATTTCTAAGGAAATAGGGGAAGAAACAGGACAAAGACGAGACGAAACGAGAAGTGACGAAACGAGATGAGAAGCGACGGCGGAAGAAGAGAACGAGAAGACGAGAATAGAAGAAAAGAGGGGAGGAAAAAAGAGAAACCTAGTGAGAGAGAAAAGGAAAGGAGAGAACGAAGGAAGAGAATGCGTGGAAAGAGATACAAAACAGTCGTGTCCTGGTTTACGCGAGAAATTAACGTCGCATTGATTTGTTTCGTGGAATCAAAAACCGTCCATTATACTTTAACAAATGTTTTCTTAATTTTAGGATGATTTAAGATTTCAAGAGGTATTTTTCGATGCAGAAAAACTCTACTTACGGCTGTTAGTAATGTAACATTTTAAAATAACAATCAGAATCGAGCTAAAAGAGCTGTTTACTTTGTACGTATCTAAGTGTTTTTTGAGTGGTAATGACAGTCTTTAGTGAAAGCCACTTTGACCTTATAATTAAGGATGGGAGAGAATACTGAATAACAATACAAACAAAACTCTTCAACAACAAAATAATCCGAATTCGGTGTTCGAATTCCGTAAAATATATGACACGAGAAAAAGCCTGTGAAAAAGACTGTTGGCGATAGCGGGTTGAGAAATATTATGAAATCGAATGTTGGATTGTAATAAAACGATTTTGTTAAACATAAAATTAATCACAGGAAAGTATTCGGCTGTAAAACGATTGTATCCTTTCGTAATTGGAGAGCAATCTTTCTTAATCTTCTAAATTGGCAGTGAATGATAATATTTCATTATAAAGGTACCAAGCACTTAGTAGGTGTTCTATTTATGAACTATCCGTGATTTTAAGATCTTTCTTATTAATATTTGGCGCTTATTGACGAATAACAATTTTTCTATGTTATTTTCATTAATTATTATTACTATTTTATACTATTATAAAATAGTCTCCCGACCCTTCCTAAGGGACCATTCATTATTTATGCCAGGGAGGGGGCTGGCAATATTGTGAAATAGTAAAAAAAAAAATTCCCAGCCCCAATATAGTGTAAGGAAAAAAGCTCGTGACCCCTACAGAGGTTATTGGAAATCTACATAGCCCCCCTCCTTCCCTTAAATATCAAATATTAACTAAAGTACAAGTTTTCATCAACATTCTTCTATTTAAATAGCTCAATCAACAGTTCTTTTAAATAACAAATGAAATGAATTGGTTTAGTAACAAATAAAACTCCTTTCTCTTCTCCAAGATCCTCCTCCTCTTCCTCAAGCTCCTCCTTCTTCTTCCTCAAGCTCATCCTCCTCTTCCTCAAGCTCCTCCTTGTCTTCCTCAAGCTCATCTTCTTCTTCCTCCTCTTCTTCTTTTGACTCTTTTTCTTTGTCTATCAAAGCCCACTCAGTAAGCTTAACCATAACACACTTCCTTGCATCAGCATGCCAATTATAATTTTCAAGTAACTTAGTTAATGCTTTTTGGTGTCTATCTCTTCTTAATGTCTCTAATTGTTCAATCTGCAGCATATCCTTTGTGATGCAGTCATCTAACTTGTCTAATGAATTCGCTTTAATAAGTTTTGACTTCAAAAATAATATGGAGTTTTCTAGCCGCTTTGCCTTTCTTCTTTCTGCTTTTTTCTTGTTCTGCTTAATTTTCTTTGCCTGTTTGTCCTTTCTTTTGATCCCCTTTAATGCTTGGACAATTTAATTTTTGCCATTGAAAGTACCTCAGACTTTGCATCTACATCTTGCATTAATTTGTCTACTTCTGTTAATTTAGATTTAGAGTAATCATATTGCTCAGTAGCCCAATCTTTCAATTTGTTCTTACAGAAAAGATTGTCTACATGGTGTTTAAGTTCCTTTTCTTTGTCCTCTAATTCTGATTTTAACTTCATTAATTTATTGAGACCCTTAGATACAGTATCTTCATGGTGAGGCCTTGGTATCACAGAATTTATATTCAAAAACTTGAAGCAGGATGCTTCGTTTTCTTCAGAAAAGAGAGTGTCCAAATCATGGTTGACCATAATATTATGCTGACAACAAAAACTAGATGACCCCTCAAATTTGCTGCCATATTTCTGCTGACCCCCCTCTTGAGTCCTCTGAATTTATCGTGACCCCCTCCCAATTCTTGCCAGCCCCCTCCCTGGCATAAATAATGAATGGTCCCTAACCTACAGTAAAAATGGGGGACATAAAAGAACCTGTTGAATTATTCGTATAAGAGTAGGGGACTGTCTCCCGGTTCAACAGCCTATCCCAATCTGGAGGCATTTATACTAACTTACTAACAAATCACTCATGATTGTAAGCTGCACGGCTGCTACTAGCGCCTAAATACGCAGCCCGTAAAGTCCTCCACTGGTCATGATTGTAAAGCGAATTGAGACCATGTAAAAATGCGCTATATAAGAACCCCGTTACTACTACTACTACTACTATTATTGCTATTGTTTTTATCTTTTCTATTAACTATCATCAAGAAAGACTTACTATAAAAGCGAATTTTACTTGTTTCAATATTTAACTATTATTATTACTAAGACTCCATGTCAAACGTCGAACTTCGCATGAGCCGAACCTAATGACATCAAAGAAGACCGTGAAGCTCGACGTTTGTCCTGACACTAATATCATTGCATAATATCTACTTGAATGATAATTAAAATGTGACGGATGAGCTTAAAGGGGGACTTGGACGAAAATCGGCTTACAGTCGGTTTAAAGTTGTGATTTTCCGATGGGAAATATTACATTTATTAAAGATTATTCCAGTAAAGTTTAAGCCGAATTAGATTTTGAGCAATTTTCGTCCAAGTGCCCATTTAAGTATAAGATAATGCAATAAAATAGATATTATTTTCATGTATCAGATTATATATATAGCCTCCTGCGCAGACGTTCTTAGGGTCGTCACGTTGTCACGCAACGTTACTTTTCCAACTAGCGTTCATTGCGCGAGGAAATTTAGAACGATTAATAGTCTAATAATCTAGCATAATTACTTATTTTATGCACAGATTTCCTTTGTTGTTTTTTCTATAAATGGATAAGATAGATTATAGAAATGTTATGTTCAGCTTGCTTTAATCATTATCATCATTATTTATGCCTGTGGCACGTAAGCCTGACACCGACGGGATCGGGTATTCATCGAGTTACGCGCTTCGAGTTACGCGCTTTTCGAGTTACGCGCTCGACCACACCCAAATTTGACGTTGTCACACAGTGCGCGTAACTCGATGTCATTAAGAAAGTTGTGTGAGTTCGAGTTACGCGATAGGCGCGTGACTCGACTGCAGGAAGGAATCTTTCGCAGTTCGAGTTACGCTATAATAAGCAACTTTTTAATGATATCGAGTTACGCGCACCGCGTGAAGACGTCAAATTTGGGGGTGGTAGAGCGCGTAACTCGAAAAGCGCGTAACTCGAAGCGCATAACTCGATGAATACCCATCCTACGCCAAGACTTCAGCTTGTTGTAACGCTCGACTTTAATTCGGCAACATAACAGAAGTACTTATTTTGGGTAAAAAAAATAACAAAAATATTGTCAGGATACAGGACCGGAAAAGAAATATTGCTTAACTTCTGAATCTTTCTATCTATCTCCAGACCATCTTGGAAGTAAATTAGAAAATTACATCAAAGACTTTGTTAAAGTTCATCTAATTCGGGCCCCAAAACGCGAGGGTCTAATACGAGCTCGTCTCATTGGCGCCAAAGCAGCACGTGGTCAAGTGTTAGTCTTTCTTGATTCCCATTGCGAGACTAATAATGGTTGGTTGGAACCGCTGCTCGCGAGGATCGCCGTCAACAGAACTATCGTTGTTACCCCGGATATCGAAGTTATCGATTTAAGAACATTTGGGTATGCGAAAGACCAAGGGGGTAATAATCGAGGTGTATTCAACTGGGAGTTAACTTTTAAATGGAGAACTATACCTGATTATGAGAAGGAAAGACGAAAATCAAATGCTGACCCTATCAGGTATGACTAATGATTTTATGTACTGGGTTTGGAAGATCACTTGGAAAATTCATGCAAGCTCCAAATCCTGAAATGAAGTGGCGACTTCCAACATATTTCATATTCATACTATGAAATTTTAAAAGTCATGAAAATATCACGGAAGTTTTGGAAATGCATGCCGTCATTTATGAATTATGGAAACTAATGTTGGAAGTTGTAAATCTCCCGAGCTAATTCCCATGATTCCGTGGAAGTGTCCCGCAAAAGGACAGAAGTCCTTTTCTAGCTTATTTCCATGATCTTATCAGATATACAACCAATGAATAACAGAGAATATAGGCCATCTTGCACCAGGTTGTTCCTTTCGTTATCACAAACCTACGACGAAAAAAAAAAAAAAAAAACGGTAACGAAAGAGCCTCCAGGGTAACCTTTATCAAATAAACACATATGAAATATCTTAGATGTAAGTGAGGTGTCAGTCTTCTCAGTCGCCGTTATAAGTGTCGGTCGGTTGTAGAGATACCGGGAGAATCTGGGACAGAGACTAATGACGCCTGCGCACAGAAGGGTTGGGAGACTATAGAGGCTTTGTACCATCCCGTGATGGCAGTCATGACAGGAGGCAGGAACAATTGAATCTGATCTAATCTGATTTACATGAGAAAGAACTCAGTTTCTCAGGGGCAAGAGACTATTGTTATGCCTCCTGTCGTGGCTRCCATCACGTGATGGTGCAAAGCCTCTATAGACCCTATGCAGCACGTCGAAATGCAGATCAAAGGTTTCCAATTCTCATTAGATTGAAATTCTTTTGTTTTGTCCTCCAAATTGAGTGCTTTGAGGTCACATGCAAGAGATCTATAATCATCTATAACTTTCAGATCCCCTACGATGGCTGGAGGTCTCTTTGCCATCGACAAGTCCTATTTCTACGAAATCGGCTCATACGACACGGCTATGTCCTACTGGGGAGGAGAAAACGTAGAAATCTCATTTAGGGTGAGTAAAAAAAAAACTTTTAAAATATCGCACTCGTTAATTTCAATAGAAACGGTTCCGGGCAGGAAATTTTCGTGGGGGGCTAGCTTCCTACGCAGACGTTCAAAGGGTCGAGAAACGTTGCATGACAACGTGACGGCTCAAATGATGTCTGCGTAGGAGGGGACAAGTATTCAATATTGGACGAGTACGAGTTTTAAAATTGGTCCTGTGCGCATGGTTAACACTGAATCGTAGTCGATGTCCAATTTTTTACAATCTAAAGTTTCAATCTAGGTACACTATCACGACTACGAAATGATAGTGTCAATCTTTTAAAGTTAAAAACTGAACTCGTACTCGTTCTTGTACTCGTCCTCGGATCGAAAGGTCTCTAATGATTGAATATGACGGACAGTGTTTGCCCGTTGCCAGTTCATAGTTTAAGAATCATTTTCAGTGCACATGCGATTTTATCCCTAATTTCTCACCTTCTTTTGTCTAAACCTTACTTTGTTCTTAATAAAAGGTGAGAAATTCGGGATAAAATCGCATGTGCACTGGAAACGATTCTTAAACCATGAACTGGCTTATTGGAGTCTGATCGTATAACATGGGCCTTTATCACACGGCGGACATTTTTATTCTCATAAGAATAAAAACCTTTGTTTAACCTGCATTTATTTATTTTCAAACTCTTGTATGCGAGGCTACGCGTGGTAGAATCTATTGTTCCAACCAATATGGCTGCCGCGTGAAAAGGCCCATTGATAAAATTTTAATTTAAAATAAAAAATAAAAAATAWATATATTTATTTAATTAAACTAAAATGCAACAAAAAATACAATAAAAATGAAAAATAAAAATACATTTTTAACAATTATAACAACAACATTTATAATTAAAAATGCTCCACTGATAGGACTTTTATCTTTTTCATCTATCGAGTATCGGTTTGTTATCATATCTATAACGAGTAAGCATCGAAATAAAGTGGATTTTAATTGAGAGCATCTTATTTCTTATCACAGTAAGCTTCGAGACATATTTCCGCATCCGAAGTCTGGCATTTTTCATATTTTTAAGCAAATAAAAATATTTAAAAGAATCCCTTCAAATTAATATCAGTGTCTAAGTAACGTTTCCTGGAGATAACCTCCGAAAGTGTTTCTTATGGTCTTGGCTGTCGGATGCAAAGATCAATCGATATTTTGAATTAAATACATGTGGGCAGAAAACTAACCTCATCGGATCAGAGATTAGACAGGCAAGGAGCAGCTGTTCGTGAAAGATCCTGTCTTTTGACTAGATTCGTGGTTGATATGATCAGCTGGTTTTTTTCAATTAACATAAGCGCATTACAGGTTTTACAGATACTATTCCTTATTGAAAGCATATTTTAGGAACTGAATAACGTATGTTGACGATTGTGTGTATGATTTGCTCCATTTCACTCTTTTCTTTCGCCTGTTTTTCTTACCTTTTTTCCCCATTCTATCAATAATAATAATAATAGACTTCCGTTTGCTCTTTTCTTGTTTCTTCTTAACCTTCTTCGCTCGTTTCTTCGTTCCTTACGGGTTTTTTCTATCCTTCATCTTTCTTTCTCGTTTCCTTATTCCTTTTTTCCCGCTTCTCCTTCATTCCTCTTATTCTGCACGATTCCAACCGCCATCTTACTTGCTTTGTTCTCAGTCACGTGTGCTGTCTCAGAATAATCTATATATCTTTCAAAACCTAACTATAATGATAGACCGTTTTCTCAAGGTTGTGTGCGCATCCAACTTGACGGGCCACAAAACTGAATAACGCAAATTCAGTAAGATTGAGAAGCCAGTTTTATATTTAAAGTGGAGAATAATCGATTTTATGAGTTCTTATCGAAAAAAATTTAATAGCAATGCATGTTACTACTCGTGTTCTGGTATCGTCGCTCGTCAAGTTCCTTAAATTTGGATGCGGACGCCTTGAACCTTGAGAAAAGCGGTCTATTGATGTTGGAAATAACACTTGAAGTCTAATTTTTTAAACAGAAGAGGGGAAGAAACATGCTGAAAAGAGAGACGACTGCGCGCACACATCAATTATTTGCAAGCCAAACTTGGAAAGATGTTTCTTGAATAGCATGACCTCACATATGTAAACTAATGCTTTTGCATTAATTGAGTTTTTTTTTTTTAAGTTTTTTTTTATAAAGTTTTCATTATTATTTAATAATTATTCGCCAAAGGCGAAGTTAATATCGAGGAATATTTACCGATCCGCGATTCTTCTGGGTCTAAAACAAAAACAGACCAAAACAGACGGAAAACACAAAAACTCGATAATATCGGCGAGGCATTAAAAATGTAACCTGCGGTAAACAAAGAATCATACTTTTCGTATTACCAAGAAGTTAAATTAAAAGGCAAATAGCTTATTTTGGTTTAGAAAATGCAAAGAACTCAGACTGAACTTAACTGTAAGCAATGCCGAAAGGATTTTAGAATCAACAAATTTAATAATTGATAAAAAAAGTGGTCATGATGGCATACGCTAAAATTCGCATTAAATTCAGTTGTTTTGGCTTGTTTTAAATTACTAACAAGACTACAAAAGACAGGTGAAAAATTAACAGTAACTTTTAAGGTCTCACATGATCACATAATCAAATTTTAAGATGTATATTTGATGTCCTCAGATCTGGATGTGTGGAGGTACGCTGGAGATAATTCCATGTTCGAAAGTTGGTCACGTGTTCCGTGAGAGTCAACCTTACAAGATAGGAGATGGCGCCATTGATATGAACAACATGAGGCTAGCCGAGGTAAATTATTACTACTTTCGCTTATCTCTTCTAGGAAAAAGTAAAATTTTGTTTGACTGCTTTATCTTTACTGTGATGCTGCGTATCTGCACTATCCAAATGCGCCTGCGTTCCTTCTCACCGGAAATAAAAGCATCGAAAAATACAATCGAAAAACGAATGATCTACAGAAACGTCTCGTCGATGAAGCTAATAAGTTTTCAGTTTAGCTTCGCTCTCAGTATATAAGTAAATAGACACCTCTGGCTTAAGGATTGCCTTAAGAAATTAAGGAACTGCGCCGGGCTGCACTGCACATTCAAGTGACGTTAGGAATGCAAAGCCCCCTCCTCCCTCTTCTCCTCCACCTCAGTTTCCCAAACTTACACATACACACACGTCTTTTAACGTTATCCTCTCATTGTGTTCCGCACACTTTAAGGTCTGGATGGACGACTATAAAAAGGTTTTCTACGCTATGAAACCCCAACTACAAGGAAAAGACTTCGGTGACATATCAGAAAGACTTGAACTAAGAAAAAGGCTCCAGTGTAAAAGCTTTTCGTGGTATCTAAAGAATGTGATCCCAGAGTTAGTCGTACCAGACCTGTACCCTCTAGGGAGGGGAGAGGTAAGAACTTACACCGCAATCATAAAAAAATGAACATTAAATAGAGTGGCACGAACCGCGGACCCCCCTATTTTAGTTTCATGCGTATATTAGTTTGCATATTTTTTAAAACCAAGAGTAAATTCCCGGTTGGGCTATTCTTAGTAACCGGATGCAGTTTAAATTTCGCCTTACCCTATTCCCTTGCGTCATCAACTTGCGCGCGCGTGCTCGTTTTGATCAAGTTGATGAAGCACAAGTAGGTAAGGCGAATTGAAACCGCAATCGGTTACTAAAAATAGCCCAACCGGGAATTTAAATTGCGCGCGCGACATTAAGAAGTTTCCCTCTCTTATTTGTGCTCTCTTAATTAAATCTAAAACATCCTTCCCACACTCTGAGGCCCTTGTCTTGTACCCTGGTTTTCAAAGGTTCACTCGTTTTAGTGCTCCTAGATCATAGGTTCCAGCCTAACAACCTTTGAGTAATGAAACAAGAAAACCTCTGAACACAAGAATAACTCTTTAATATTTGCCATGCAGGTTTGAATTATAATCATTTAGATATGTCGCTAACAATTTTTGTACCGTTTTTAGGTTCGCAATCTTGGAACAAATCAGTGTTTAGATACGCTAGGGAAAAACGACCCTGGTGGTGAGCCGGGCATGTACATGTGTCATGGTATGGGAAATAATCAGGTAAATATAATGAAAAATAGCTGCGAAAATCGATACACCTTATAACACAAGAACCCATGCGATAATCGCATTGTGGGGGTTAAAAGAAAAGAATTCCCTTTTCTTGAGTGTGAAATACTTTTTAATGTTGGGGCCAAAAGAAAAAGAATTCCCTTCTCTTGAAAAGTGAAATATTTTTTGACAATGTTTTGACTCCCAAGTTGGGATTCAGTGCAAGAGGTCTATTAGCAATTCCGAGGATAAAAACAAAACTGGGTTGAGTTGGTATTGCATTACTGTGGAGGTGCTTTAGGGGACATATTTCCAAGATGGCGTTCATGTCGTCCTCTTGAACAGTCCCACAACGCACTGCAATGCAAACTCGATCCAGTTTTACCCTCAACCTCGGAATAGCTAATAGGTACTAACAGGTTACGTGATGCTGACCCCTTTAACAAAGCAGTTATTTCAAAATAATTTCTCTTTGTTTATATTTTTAGTTCTTCATGTTCACGAAACAGCAAGAGTTTTGGCACGATGATGTATGTCTGGATCTCGTGAGCGGTGAACCCGATACTAAAGTAAAGATATATACTTGTCACGGTATGGGAGGAAATCAGAAATGGAGTCACGTTAAGGTATGTGTCACGCAATCATAACCACCACTGTAATGGGGATACACCTATATAATGGAAATGGCATGTGTGACGCTGGTGAGAGTTCATAGGAAACTAGAAATTTAGTTACCGTTTGAGTGGGTTAAAAGTTCATGTCGCGAAATCGCGCCAGTCAGTGATGGAGTCATCACAGACTTTGTGGAAATCGCAATACCTGTCACGGTATCATAGGGAATGGTGGGACCTGCATCGAGAACCAGAGATGGGATGACGTTAAACCGTGGTAGATTTAGATGTCATTGGGAAAGGGGGTAGCAAGAAACGTAAGGAATACCTTGAAGACGTGGGAACCCATTTTACAGTATTTTTATGCGACATTCAAAACTTAAACGAACTTTTCTGTTCATCTTAGGATGGTCCTATTAAACACTCTTTATACGATGTTTGCCTTGAAGCACAAGGAGACAAAATATTGGTTAGGAAGTGTAACGATGCCAAGACACAAAAATGGCGAATTAGTTCCTACCCAGACGAAGAAAGGAAAAAAGAACATATATTATGACCATAAAGTCTAGTTTTAGGAAACATGTTTAAATTTAAGTGTTTGTATTTCTAAATTGAATGTCTAAATTCTATAAAACGGAATCCTTAAGGGACAGTGGAACTTTGTGCAGGATACAATGACGTGGAAAAAAACTAGTCAATGATTTTGTGAAATTTTTGTTAGGTAGCTATAAACAAGGATTCTTGTGGTATTCACAACCCCTTTAAAATTTTCTACACTAGGCTTTCTTCGAAGTATTTGTTACATTGAAGATTTTAACTAAATTTTTCTATTTCCCAAATCAATGAATTCTTGGGGCCAATGTTCAACTGACGAAGTTAGGATTTCCATATTAAATACTGGTGCTGTCAAGTAACCCCAAGAGAGTATATACTTCATGCTCTCTTGGTATTCCACAGTTCAGTCCAGGAAGAATTACGTGGTATATTGTTATGATTACAGTTTTGGTACTATTTTTATGTACAATTCAAATACTATTTTAGATTTTAGATATATTTAACGTTTTTTACTTCTCCTTTGTAAGTTTTCGCATTACTACAATAAAAACCACGTTGGCCCAATTGGAAATGTTTGGAAAATATGTGATGAAATTCATAGGACCCAGGAATGGTGAATATAAAGGAATGATAAGTCCAGTGTTTTGCATGATTTTATGATAGGATCTCTTATATCAAAAATGACATGCTTTATACCTTAATACAATAATTTATTGAAAAACAAATTTAAACATATCTTTTAAAAGATATCTAAATTTTTAAGGATCGATTTTAACCCTTTGAAAAATATTAACAACACCCCTGTCAAACATAGGCTCATTAACGATAATTAACCGTTTACTAATAGAACAAGAAGAAATAAAATTAACTTAGAACATCATTGCGCAAGCTAAACACCTAGTTTTTCAGAAGCAAATAAAAAAATAAATAAGGAAGAGCCGGGAAAAGATAATATTTTATGGAATGTAACTGAGGCATGAACTCATTTACTGGGATATTGCGTTATATTTTCTGTTGGTTAAACCTTTTCATATCAAAAGGCATAGGAATAAATAAAAAGATAAGTATGATGTGCTCCATTTACAACAGAAAAAAAAAAAAGAAAATGTTAATTTAGTAAACTTTGCTCTATACCCAACGCTGCGACTGTATTATCGTGAACAGTCTACACATAGGATTCATACATGTTAGAAGTAGTCACTATTGACCAGTGTTACTATTTCATTATAATTTACCATTAATATTATTATTTTATCTATGTTCATTAGTATGTTAAAACAGTTATCTTACCCTTGATGAAGTACTGCTATTTGTTTTGATTAGTTTGTTCTTTTATCTAGTATTTCCAACACTTCCTTGCATTTCTCTTGTGCAAATGAAACGGCTTCGTCAGCTTCCTTTAAAGTCTGAAAGGAAAAAATAAAACATTAAACAATTCAATAAAAAAAGAAAAATTAGGTAGTAAAACGTTATTCACTGGATTCATTTACAAAGAGAAAAAGTAAAAAAAATCTTTAATGGAAGACGATTTCCTTATTCCAGGGCTGTCAACTCTCCCGGATAAACCGGGAGTCTCCAGATTTTGGACCGTATCTCCCGGTCTCCAGATTAGAGTATCAAATCTCCCGGATAATCGCTAAAGCTGGCCATTTCTTGTCTTGTGAGACTCGACTTTCACAACCATAAAATTCCAATTATTTTGTGTCACGTTGTTTGTGTTATTTTAAATCGCTAACAAAATCAAAACGTTCCTCATAAACTGTTCTTGCAAGCAGGCCATTGTAATATAATATAATAATATGTAATATAATCTGATTGGTCAGAAATAAACCAATCACATCAAATGTTACAAAGCAAAAGACGTTTTTTCGCGCGCTTTTTGACGCGCTGTGACGTCATGTCCCTTTCCTATCAATATCTCCAGATTTGAATATCTCGAGATTTGAATATCTCGGGGGTTGACAGCCCTGTTATTCACTCATTAAAAGACTCGGTGATAACCTGAATTAAACAGTAAATCAAGTCAAAAATTAAAACTAAAAATAGCAGAACAGAATGATTAATTATAAGGAATGAATGAAATGTGATAAATGCGACGGTAAAAGTACCATTTTCGAGGTAAAAGAAACGGCTTTGTGCCAGATGCTCCAAAACAACCACTTGAAGAAACTCTATATTTTTCCCGCCTTTCCGCTCCCTGGATGTGATGCGCCTGCTACAAATCATCACGTGATTACATGAGGTATAAGTAGTTTTCCGGTTGTATAAAAAGCTACTTCCGGGTCCAAATCATAAGCAGCCAAGAGTTTGTCAGAGTTTCGGCACACGTTCTTATTTTTGGACCCTAGTAAATTTTACTTATCATGTGAGGGTAGGGGATTTAGCTTCATTCGCCAGTTTACTGATGTGCATCCCTTCCCATGAAAACAGAAGACAAAAGACACAACGGTAAGGCCCCGTCCACACGTATCCGGAAATTTTTGTATCCGCAAATTATTTTTTGCGGATACGAAAATGTTTGCGTCCACACGCAGCGTAATCGAATCGTTTTCACCGTCCACACGTACCCGTTTTCGTAAAATTTGCGGATACGGACACGAAAATTGTGGACACGTGTGGACGCAACCCGTATCCGTAAAAAAAATTGCGGATACAAAAATTTGCGGATACGTGTGGACGGGGCCTAAGTTACGATACGGTACGACTACGGATTTGTCGTATTGTTTCCTACTAGCAAGACGCAAGTAAAACATTCGCCTTTACTGATCTAAAACAACGGCGATTGTAATTTGCATTTCACGAAAGAAACATGCCTGACCATCAACTGACAACCTACCTTGTTCTGGAAATCCATGTCTTTGATGTCAGGTAAATTAATCTTCACGTTGTAGTAAGCACCCCAGACACCTGTCTCTATACTCCGTGCTCCTACCTACGAAGAAGGTTAACCAAAACCCTTCACACATACTGAATTCAAATACAAATTGCCAAATAATGTCATACCTCTTTCTGTGCCCTTTCCCCACCTAAAACCACTGTACAAGTGAATCCGAATAGAAGCTTTGCACCATTATGTGCCGGCGCCCATAATCCAGCTTGGGCTGCCTGCAGTTAGATGGAAGAACAATAAAATCCCTTTGCTCTTTGCTCTCGGGAATCGAATTCTCTCATATAAAACGATTGTATTGTTCCTGCCATCTAACATGGCTGCCGTCACGTGATGTTGCAAAGCATCTATAGAGTAGATTTCGCCGTACGACTGCGAACCGGAAAGGTAGACGGCACCGCCAAGGTACGGAAGTCACGACACCCTTTGAGCCAATCACAGCGCGCGAGATCACTTGTAATCATGTAAAAATGTTTACCGTCACGGTCACGGCACGACAAATCCAGTCCCACGAGGCTTTTAAGCTTTACGAAAGTAGCTCTTAACCAAACCATTTTATTCTCGCTTGGATGCTCGYAGTGCCATAAAATCAAAAAGAAAGATTCTAAATAATATTAAAACTCCCTTTTCGGCACTTTGACTCTACAAAGTCCTGAAACTTGGATGAAAGACTAAACATCACTTAAAATCCATTCGATTTCAGTTGAGTTTCGAATGAAACTTAGGAATGTGATTGTCGCGGTACGCATACAACATTACGGGAACGGTTTTTCATGTGCGCGCGCCTGCGTCCTCGGCGTTGTCGTTTTCTCTAGAACGTCAGTTGGTGTATTTCATGTTCTAGAGATAACGACAACGCCGACGATGATGGCGCGCTGTTTGCCGCCATAACTGGTGAAGTAGTATCAACATCCACGATGTGCACAAGATATTTTATCCTGTGAACACGTTTGCAACTTACTCATATTCCATCACCAAACTCACTAAGTATCGTGGGAAGCATTTCATATCAAAAAGCAAGGCCGTAACCGGGGGGAGCACAAGGTGCACGTGAACCCCCATAAAAGCTTAAGGTCCGCTCATCTATCTCCTTTTGCTTTAAAATTGCATGTAAATGCCTTTTGATTAAATGAAGACCATTTTCCATCTGCATATTGTAGCATTCTTAAGAATCACTCACCCATTATTCCCTTGTTTTTTTAATTTTGTTGTTGTTGTTGGTTCTGTTTTTGTTTTTTTTATTGGCTCTGCAAATCATTGCCTGTGTACCTCCCCTGCAAGATCCCTGGTTACGCCACTGAAAAAGTAAAGTTTGTGATACAAACTGCAGCCGGTTTCGTCGGTCTCCGCTTCGTAATTTTTCAGGTGACTAACTTTATTAAAATGATTTGGGAGGCATCCCGCATGCCTGGTTTTGCTTACCTGTAGATCTGACTTCGTTGTGATGTTGCTAACCTTGGAAAGTTCCACCAAGTGAGGCCATACTTTGTTAGCAGTAACAATCACTGACATTGGTACATTGACAGCCTTTTTAAGACCTTCCTCTGTTGCCTGGTTACGTCTGGATTGGACAAAAAAAATACATTGAAATTAAGGTCTTATGTCGTGCGGAATTCTTTACCAGCTGAATGGAAAATTTTTGATAGAGATGGAGGGCAATAAGGTAAGCAGTGAGATTCACTGGATTCGTTTAGCAGATCGATCCCAAGCAATATGTATATGTTGATAGCCTATGATGGGCAGTGTTTGCCCTTCAATGTTGGCTGGTAATGGGATTCACAAGATTCATTCAGCAGAATGATGCCAAGCAAGATATGTTGATAGAGCATGACGGGCATTGTTTGCCCTTCACTGATGGCTGATAATGGGATTCACAAGATTCATTCAAGAGAATGATGCCAAGCAAGATATGTTGATAGCACATGAAGGGCACTGTTTGCCCTTCACTGATGACTGGTAATGAGATTCCGAGATTCCTTCAGCAGATTGATGCCAAGCAAGATATGTTGATAGCACATGACAGGCACTGTTGTCCCAGCACTGAGATTGATTGATGTCAAGCAATTTTGCTAAGGACTCGCGATTGAAGTTTGCCTCATGAATGTGACAAAGGAAACCGTTTTCATGTTCTATAAGACATAAAAAACATTAAAAATGTGCTCAAACCATAGAACATAGCACCAACAACAACAATATTGGATAAATTAATTTTCGTAATTTTCAAGAAAACCCGTCAGTAACGCATCATTCTTACATTTCTTTTTCTTCAGGAGTATTGTTTGGAAGCTTTTTGGCCATCTGTGTGGAGAAAAATGTGCAATTACCAAAATGCTATGGCATAATCATGGTGCAAGAAATAATACTATTGAATTAGAGACGTTGAACCTATCACAACTCATGATGAAATAACCACTCATCCAATCAAAATGTTGGGATACGACACATCCTCACCTAAATTTCTCAACAATCATACATGTACAAAACTGGTGTGCTCAAAACATTGTCAAGAAACAGTGCTGACACGTATCATTATGGTCACAGCACACATGTTTATATATAACAATATATATGTCTAATACTGTAGCTGTGCAATAATTAAGGTATAGATACTGGATACTCGGATACTTAAGGTCATGCACAATGGTAGGGTTCTGGGTTGCAGGAGGTGAAACTGATAACCAATCCAAGGGTGGATCCAGCGGGCAAAGGGGGGCTGAAAAGGGGGGCTGAAAAGGGGGGCTGAAGCCCCCCTTCAGCAGGAAAAAAAAAAGAAAAAAAACTGAAGAATTAGATGCTTTTTTTTACTGTTTTCCGTTGTGTTGACGGAAGAAACTCAATTAGCCCCCCCCCCTAAAATTTTGGTTGGATCTGCCCTTGCAATCTAGCTATAAATGTGTTTGCAACAGTAAGCACTTACAGTACATGTATTAGTAAGTGACTAAGAAACCTGTGCCCTTCGTGCATTTCATGATTGAAATGGATTTTTTGCAAAAGGAAGAGAACAAGAGAACTGGGGAAAAAACCCTTAAAGCATGAGGGACAGAACTAACAATCAACTCTACTCATACACTATAAATTATGATGGGGAGTCCAGAGATTTGTACCCATGGCAACGGAGGTGGGATGGTGCATTAGCTGCATTTCACGTTTGTCTTACCAAGAAGTCATTGAAAGCATCAGTATCCTTATCAACCATATCAATCAGGTCCAACATGGTCTGGCGGAGTGGTGGTATCAGCGTTCTCATCAAGGGATCGAGGGATTCATACTTCTTGTTCCCATATGACATGAACCCAACCATGGTTCCTAATGCTGCACCCTGTTGAAGACAACATTTCATTCAATTCAACATATAAGAAATGATTGTAGAAGTACAAATGAAGTTAAAATTTTCAAGATTAAAATGACAGATGATCTTAATCAGGCCAGCCCATCGCTATAGGGGTGGTTCAATGGTTCGAATGAACCTCCCTCTCCCCTAAAAAGATCCAATAACATTTAAGCAATAGAAAACTTTTTCCGTGTTTACATAGCCTGATAGCAACACGAGGGGAGGTTGGGAGAATTCGAGACAGTTATGCAAACCCGAGACATAGTCGAGAATTCTCCCAAGGCCCCTGACGAAGGATGTGTGTTTTAGCCCCTGAGGGAATTCTCGTTGCTGTGACCAACGAGAGGTTGTCATGATATTAAGATCAGAAAGACCTGCATGAGACCATAGGGTTATGCCTGTGGCCCTGACACAAGTCAAAATTTGGAACTTCGTCTTCAAAATACATTTTTGGGGGTGTTTTTTTCCTCAAAAGAAACTGTAAATTTTTGAACTTGCACCGGGAAAACACAAAAGTTGTGACGTCACAACTGTGTTTACATATACCCTCATGCAAACATCGCTATCAACCAATCACAGCATGCATACTATTTCATTTATTTTATAAAATAAAATGTTTTTCAAGAAATAGTATAACTAAGCTTAAGATTGTTAGAAAAACAAACCTCCCCTTTCAAGGTCCTAGGGACAGGCCTTTTAATTATTTCAAAACTTGAATAATGCATGACTGAATGCCATCAACAGTTGAATTAACCTAAATTACAAATCTCACTCTGCAGTCTCTGGTCAATTGATCATGAGTCATACAGGTACATATACATAATCAATGAACTTACAATGGCAGCAACAGCAGCTGCAGCTGAACCTCCACCTGGTACTGAGGTTCTGGCACCTACATTCAGTATAAAATCTTTCAATGACATTGATACCAATGGCCCAGCACTTTCCCCAATCATGTACCTAGTATATGGGAAAAGAACAAGTACATGTATTACTAAGCCTACAATCATTTTAATGTACATGTAGACGCCATGTATTATTATACATGGCGTCTGGAGGTGAGGACGTGTCTTCTAGCTCTGGGGTGCTTTTTAATTTTTCTGTTGTTAATTGACAAGGAAAGGAAAACGAACGAAATGGACAGAGGGAATGAACAGAGATGTTTTAGAATGTAAGGAAAGAGCATTCGAAATAATATCTTCGAAGGATCCACCGCTTAACCAAAATGGCAGAAAGAAAGGCTACATTCAAATAATGGCGGAGCTATGGGAAGAGAAAGGCTATGGAAGCCTTGGTTTAACCGGCCAAATCCTGAGAGATCAAGCCTCAAGACTGCAAAACACACAGAATTGCTCTAATATGACGATTTTAACACAAGAAACCGAAGAAAATATCGAAAATATCGAACAAAATGAGGACGAATATGCAGCTAATCAACCAAGACCGACACCGAATTTGCATACTAGTGTATTGCAATCCCCTGAGGCATTTCTCGACAAAGAAGGAAAAATCTCAAGCAAAATTCAGCCAAATCTACCTGACTTTGATGTGCTTCCCTCTAAGATAAAAGAGAAAAGTTGGGGGACCATAACTCAAGAACAGTTCTGTAAACAAATCCAGGACATCTACGATGAAATTGTTCATTTTAAACGAAATATCTTCAATATACCATCAGGTAAAGCAGGCAAGAATTTCATAACCGAATTGACGTATTGGCTAAAGCAATTCAATTCTAATACAGATCTAAATTATATTGCCTTGAAAGCCTTTATGGTGCTCCCAACGTTGATTCTACAAAAACCCTCAGCGACATCCAAAAGCAAGGAACACAGTGAGGCTATTGAACGGAGGTTGTCCTTATGGAGAGCGGGGGATCTATCTCTCCTGTTGAAAGAAATAAGGTTCATACAGAGCAGGTTTAGCAAGACGAGGAAAGCAAGATCTATGGAAGATATATCCAAAGTATTCACCAATCTAGTTATGCAAGGAAAGCTATCAGCCGCTATAAAACTTCTTGACAGAGAGACATCTACAGGTGTCCTTACTTTATCACCCGAAGTCTTAGAGGAGCTCAAAGAGAAACATCCTTCAGCTGCTGACATCGAAGATGAAAGCCTCTTGAATGGTCCCCTGGAACCTAATCCTCATGGTATCTTTGACTTAATCGATGAACAAATGATCTACAATGCAGCAATGAGGACAAGAGGATCTGCCGGACCTTCAGGAATGGATGCCGAACTTTACCGAAGAGTACTCTGTTCAAAAAATTTTAACGCCGAAGGAAAACTACTGAGAGAAGAAATAGTAATTATGACCAGAAATCTATTAAAATCTTCATACCATCCAATCCTGCTAGAGAGCTACACCGCATGCAGGCTCATACCTTTGGAAAAGAATCCCGGAATTCGACCCATAGGAGTAGGAGAAGTTCTACGGCGAATTATCGGTAAAACAGTGTCTGCATTCTTTAAAGAAGAACTAAAACAAGCAGCAGGTCCCCTACAAGTTTGTGCTTGACACAGTGGAGGGGCCGAAGCCGCTATTCATGCAATGAGCCAGATCTTTAGTGAAGAGGATACAGATGCAGTACTACTGATCGATGCAATTAACGCCTTCAATCAGATGAACCGGTCAGTAGCCATGCATAATATCYGGATTACCTGTAAAGAAATATCCTTGTACGTAATTAATACTTACAGAAGCCCTTCCAGGTTGTTTATATGTGGTGGTGGAGAGATCCTATCTCAGGAGGGCACCACACAAGGCGACCCATTAGCCATGYCATGGTATTCGGTAAATACATCCACAATAATTCAAACTTTAAGAACTTTTWTTCCTGATGTAAAGCAGGTGTGGTTAGCTGATGATTCTGCGGGAGCAGGAAGAATTGTCTCTTTATTTAATTGGTATAAAAACCTGGAACAAGAGGGCAAAAAGTATGGATATATTGTTAATGGGTCCAAAAGCTGGTTGATCGTGAAGTCGGAAGCTTTGGCTTTGGAAGCGAAACAGGTATTTGGAGAAGAGGTTAACGTCACAAGCGAAGGCAAACGTCACCTTGGAGCTGTTATTGGATCAAAGATTTATAAAGACCAATTTTGCAACGAGAAAATCTACAAGTGGAAAGAAGAATTACAAACCCTCTCAGAGATTGCAAGSTGCCAGCCACAATCGGCCTATATCGCATTTACAAAGGGATACAAATCCAAGTTTACATACTTCATGCGAACAATTGAATCTTTTGAGGACTATACTGATCCTGTTGATAATGTGATAAATGAAATGCTTCTTCCAACGCTTTTCGGTCAAACAGAACCACTACCTGAAGAGCTGAGTAGGCTTTTTACCTTATCCCCTGCGGAAGGAGGCTTAGGGATGCCTGCACTAAAAGAACAGGCTCCACAGCAATATGCGGCATCACTTCTAATAACAGCTTCACACACTGAGGCTATTAAAACGCAGAGCAAAACGATGTATACGACCACAGAAGATGTGAAAAAACAACATCAATCACTAAAAGCTGAAATCTCTAAATCGAAAATGGATGAAATCGATGCAGCATTACCACCTGACATACTCCGTCAAGTAACCCAAGCAAGAGACAAAGGAGCAAGCTCATGG